TTTTTCTTTTTGCTTATGTGGTGCTGAGGAATTGAACCCAGGGCCTCAGGCATGCAAGGCAAGCACTCTACCACTGAGCCACCTTCTCAGCCCTGCTAAGTTCTTTTACAAGTAAAAAGGAGGGGTAGCTAGGCACAGTGGCACATCCATGAGAAAAGAGGATTCCTTGAGCACAGAAGTTGAAGGCTAGCCTGGGCAACTAAAATGAAGAGGGAGAGGGAGGACTTGGGGTAGGTGTGAGCAGAAGGGGAGGGGAAAGAAAAGCAAACAGAGGAAAAGGAAGAGAGAAGAAGAGACCCTTAATATATATATATATAAGCTGGGCACCAGCAGCTCATGCCTGTAATCCTAGCTACTCAAGAGGCTGAGATCTGGGGATCACAGTTCAAAGCCAGCCCAGGCAGGAAAGTCCATGAAACCCTCATCTCCAAAATCTACAAAAACAAAACAAAACAAAACTGGAAACTGGAACTGCGGCTCAAGTGGTAGAATGTTAGCTGTGAGCAAAAGGAAACTCAAGAAACAGTGCCCAGGCCCTGAGTTCAAGTCCCAGGAATGGCAGAGGAAAAGAGAGAAAGACAGAGACAAGGGGGATTAACAATGAAAAGGAGCAAAAATAAAAGGGACTAGTAGAGAATGGGAAGAGAGGTGGCAGGAGGGATGAGTGTGGAAAGTGAGGGATAAATATGATCAAAGCACCTTGTATGAAAACATCAGAATAAAAGTCACTACTTTGTACAATTAATGCATACCAAAATATGAAAAAAGTAACATCCCAAAGAACAAAATGCAGAAATAACCAAAAACTAATGTGGCTAAGGAGCCAACAGTTTAAATTGTGCCTGTCTCACTTCACACCATCTTTGGCAAACCACCAAATCATTTTTATTCTCAGGTTTCCCATCTGTCTCAAGAAGATAAAACATATCCATCCTCAGCCCTATGAGCAGAGCAGCATGATCAATATTCCTGAGAGGTTCCTACCATTTGGGGCCAAGGTCCCAGAAGAACAGAAGTCATCTTCTGCATTGCCTTCCTCCACCACACTTGATTTAGCATCCCCAGAGTGAGCAGGGTTTCATATTCCTTGGCTGGTAGATGACAGCAGTAGACTATCACACCATATCTAGCCTATGTGATCACTGGGCTAACACCACGGTGCTCACTGAGTACTGGCTGAAACAAGACCTGCACTGAATTACTAAACACTTATCATACATACATGCAAATTACCTTCTCCCTAGGGGTCTAATTATGAAGCACTTACTTATTTAATCCTCTAAATCCATAAAGAGTAGTTAAAAGGTCAACTTTTGAGGATTGTTAATATTTCATAACAGTGAATCTTAACCCCTCCCCCACCCCTATAGCTATTGCAAGAGCAGTAGCAAGACCTGGTTCCTTCTAACCAGGGAGACTTAGGAAGGGCTACTGGTCGAATCTCTTCCAGGCTGTTTCTCTTATACCTCAGCTCCTGCCTTTTACCCTTGGAATATTATTTGTCCTTCTCCCCCACCCCCAATTAGACTTATCTTTCAAACCCTAAGTGTGACACCCTACACACATACCTCCCTCCTCCTCCCACCTCAGCCTCCTATGTTCTCCCCAACCCTCAGCTAGGTGAAATGTGCTCTCTTGTTCCCAACATGCACCCTAACCTTTTCCCTTACTCTACAACCCCATAGGCCTTGTCTCTGACCTGTGTCCCAGGCACTGGCCTCACATGGGCATGGACTCCAACTGAACCTCATTCTTCCCTGTATTCTTTTTAGCAGGGGGCTCTGTTTAAAAAGCAAATATACCTGGTGGGACCCCCCCCCTACGCCCCTCTGGTAATCCCAACACTTGGAGGCTGAGGTAAAGAGGACTGGTTGAGTTCAAGGCCAACCTGAACACACTACATAGCACAGGGAGGGACACATGCAGCAGTGGTACTCACTGAACACTACGATGAAAATGAACAATATAATTTGT